TATATATATATATATATAACATGTAATACGGGTTTCACAGTATCTACTCTATATTCCCATTATGGTAGCTTAAGCTGAATTCCTTAGCAAGAACCCAGGATCATTCTGCTCCTGCTGGCGGCGGCTGCCTCGGTGGTGGTGAACGTCACCAACGACAGCAAGCGTGAGGAGGTGCGCGGTTCTGGGCTTTGTTGCTATGGGCTTCGGGTTTGGGGCCTGGGGTTTAGGGTTGCGGTTGTGGGGCGCCAAACCCATGCCTCAGAAGTCCTTGAAATTGTGATTTCTGGTAGCTTGCGGGGCACGACGTCGGAGCTTCCGTCTTTGCAAAGGTTGCATGCCACGTGCATACTTCTGACTTGGTAAGTTTATGTATCCAGTAGCTTACGGTTTAGAGCGGCGGTGGCATGAGAACTTTCCATCGTTGCGATGGCCTTAGGCAATCGAAAAGCTCCCTGCTGCAAGCTCGCAGAGACGTCCCTGAAGACGGCCACGCTTTCGGGGGTGTCTTTGGACGCTCTTTCATCTTAGCATGTAGCTTGTAAGAGGGATGAATATCGGGGTTACAAGGGACCGAAGCAAAGCCAAAACCGCGACACCTTCTAATCTTTAGGGAATCCTTGCAATACCTTTTATAGTAACCTCAATGAACCGATGTAGCACTCTTATAGTAGCCTTAAACGAATTCTAAACCACCCTAGCAGGCCTTGTCCTACACAACTAGCGTGGCGATTCTGGTCCTTGTCCTCATCAATGCCAGCATCACGTCCTACACCGAGCACCAGGCGGGAGCGGGGGGGGGGGGGGGGGGGTTGGCTTAGGGTGGCTCGACCCTGCCATGGTTTTGTTTTAATTACTGGGGTTTTGTAGTTTGTACTGGGTTTAGGGTTGATCGGTATTGCTGTGTTGGTTGGCAGCCTTAGGCAATTGCTAACGAGAGCTTTCTTCTGTTTAACCAACTGATCAACACGCTTGAAAGCAGCATAGAGGTTTTTGGGTTTGGGGTCGATGTATGTAGGGTTTACGGACCAAGGGCCCAGTGTAGAGGCAGAGGTTTAGGCCTAGGGTTTTCTGTTTGAAGCAGGGAAAACGCAACATGCTTAGCAACAAACTTCCATGGAAGGCGGGCTTAGTTCTAGTAGAAGCGGTCCCTAAACCCGCTTTGCGTGATTTTGGCCTGCCCGTTTGGACCTTCGGGTTTGCGGCGGAGGGATCGGTTTAAGCTTAAGATTGTTGCCCCCCCTCAACTTCAAACCCTAAACCCTAAACCCTAAACCCTAAACCCTAAACCCTCAACATCTTCGAAGCTCCACCTGCCAGGATCCTAAAGTCCCAAGCTCAGCACCATTTCGCGCTTACCGTAGGCGCAAGAGCCCCGAGCTGGCGGTGGAGGGGTGAGGCCTAGCCCGGCAGCTCTAGCCTCGCTTCCCGGCCAGTTTAGGGTTTTAGGTTTTTAGGGTTTAGGGTTTAGGGTTTCCGGCCAACCCCGAAAAACTAGACACTAAACCCTAAATGGGGGTTTCCGAGAATAGGGGACCCTAATATGGTACCCTAAATAGTAGGATCCTTAATATAAGGACCCCAAAATAAGGCACCCTAATTTAGAGAACTACCCGAATCCTATTCCGTAAACCCGAAACCCTATTCCCTAAACCCGAAACCCTATTCCCTAAATCCCCAAACCCGAGACCCTAGACCTTATTCGCTAGACCCCAGTCCCTAAACCCGAAACCCAAAACTCGATTCCCTAAGCCCGAGACCCTAAACCCTTAAACCCTTAAGCCCCTAAAACCCCTAAACCCTTAAACCCTTAAACCCTAAAACCCCTAAACCCTTAAACCCTTAAACCCTTAAGCCCCTAAACCCCTAAACCCTTAAACCCTTAAGCCCTTAAGCCCCTAAACCCCTAAACCCTTAAACCCTTAAGCCCTTAAGCCCCTAAACCCCTAAACCCTGAAGCCCTTAAGCCCTTAAGCCCCTAAACCCTGAGACAAAAAGGAACCCTTAAGCCCCTAAACCCCTAAACCCTGAAACAAAAAGGAACCCTTAAGCCCCTAAACCCCTAAACCCTGAACCCTAAACCCTAAACCCTAAACCCTAAACCCTAAACCCTAAACCCTAAACCCTAAACCCTAAACCCAAAAAGGAACCCCAGAAGGTCCGAAGTCCGAAAGCAGGCGGGCAATGCCCTGGATGCCTTGGCGAAGCTCTCGCAAGCTGAGGCAGCCCACGAGATGGGGATCGGGGCCTTCGGGTTTAGGGGTTTAAGGTTTAGGGTCTAGGGCTTAAGATTTAGGGGTTTAGGGTTTAGGGGTTGAAGGTTTAGGGTTTAGGGTTTAAGATTTAGGGTTTGGGGAACAGGGTTTGAGGCTTAGGAAATAGGGCTCACGGTTTAGGGGTTTAGGGTTAAGGGTCAAGGGGTTTGTATAGGGTTATAGGTTAGAGAGGGCTTTTAGGGGTGCAGGGTTTCGGGGATTGGGCTTCGGGTGCGAGTTGAGGATCTTTGAGGTCTCGATCGTCGTTCTTGTTGCTTGTTCCGGGGGGTGCTAGAGGATTGTAGTGGTGGGTGCTGTGGCTAATCGGTGGGATTCCATGGTGTCCTTCTCTGGCAGGTGCCCCTAAACCCCTGAACCCCTAAACCCCTAAACCCCTAAACCCTTAAACCCCTAAACCCTGAACCCCTAAACCCTAAACGCCTAACCCCTAAACCCTAAACCCTAAACCCCCAAACCCCAAAACCCATTCAAAAGCCTTG